CAGTTATTTTAAGGCTTTTGAATTTATTTAAATTATTTTTATTAGGAATCAAAAGAAACTTTTTGTAACTTTTATTTATTTTTGTGATGAGATTTTTTAACTCAGAAGAGACCCAAGGTTTGTTTTTTATTGTTTTTATGATAGTATTTCGATTGGTAACTTGACAGCATTCACGAAAACATTCCTGGAAAATAGTTATAAAAGTTTGGAATGCCTCTTCAATATTTGCGCTCTCATATACGACTTGCCAGTTCACCTGACTGAGACGTTGATTTAGATTGTTGATTCTGTTTGTTGAATAAGAAAATTTTACTGATGGAGCATTTCTTTTTTCAGGAAACATAAACATTTTTTTTGAAAGATTGATTGATGAAAAAACTGGCTGGTGGTCGGAAAGACAGTGAGAAATAACGCCGGAAACCAAGATGTTTTCAGGAATGTTTGTGAAGATGTTGTCAATAATAGATTGTCGATTACATTCTACTCTTGTCGGAATTGTTATTGTTTGTTGTAAACTGTAACTGTTCATAAGTTGCAAAAAATTGAACTTATTGTTTTTGTTGTTACTTTCTGACAGGTCAATGTTGAAATCACCTGCAACTATTATTAATTTGTTTTCATGATTTGCAACCAGCAAAATATCATCTAAACATTCGATGAACGAATTGACATCATAAGTTGGTGGTCGGTATGTCACAATGATTAAAACATTTTTTGTGATAGGTCTGTTTATTATTTCTAGAACGAGAAATTCGAATTCATTTTTTATACTTGTTATGCCGTCTCGGATTTTGTAATCTAAATTGTTTTTTATGTAAAAGCCGACTCCTCCACCGTGTTTTATTTTTCGGTGCTTACCTTTAAAGACATATCCGTTAATGTTAATCAAATTTTCGTTGCTGTCATTGAGCCAACTTTCAGAAATTGCGAGAACATCAATCTCAAAATTCAATTCTCGCAAGAAATCATAAATGTCATCAGATTTGTTCAACAAACTTCTTACGTTTATATGTAGAATATTGAATAAATTTTGATTAAATTGATTTTTAATTATTTTCATTTCAGAGTTAAAATCATTTACATCATAAATCTTACATATGTTGGCAATATTTTGCTGAGAGTTTTCATCATTGATAAAAATTTTGCAATGCTTACTTGGATTAACGTTTATTGACAAAATTGAATCAGACATCGTTGTTAGAAACAACTTTTTCACTGATTTTTGGGTTGAATTGCCATTCACGGACGATTATATGTTGTGGTATTACGTCCGGATCTTTCATTTTGACAACATCAGATTTTTCGACACAAACTCTGAACATTGTTGATGATTCATCAATTTTATTTTCTTTGCCTTTGTTTTCAACAACTTCTGTTTTGTTAAAAATTGGAAAACAAGATATCACTCTAATTCCATTTTCTGTTAAATATTCGGCTACATCGTTTCGATGGCATTTCTTAACATTACTCATCATGAAAAAACTTTTTTAACAATGATTTTCTCTGCTTTTAATTTGCATTCATTATTTACTTTATTTCCAATTATTTTTGATTTTGTTTTTTTGGCAACTTCTGAGTATTTTAGGGGTTGAACACTATCGGAATCTTGAGTTTCATATAATATTCCTGGAAACTTATTTAGTCGTTTACGTTTTTCCACTAAAGTAAATGGTTGCATACTTTTATCGGTTGGGGTATCGAGATCATCAGCCCAATTTTCAGTTTTTACAACTTTATCATTGACGTTATGGGATTTCGCTTTTTGAGTTACATTTTCATTGTTGATATTGTTCGGCGCTTTGGTATTTACTTTATTTTTTGCCGCAAAATTTTCTTCACGTTGTGACAACAATGGCTGCAACGATTCTATTATTTGCATTTGTTGTTTATTTAACACGTCGCTAATATCTTTTCTAATTTTTTCAAAATTTATTTTCAAAAAGTTGTCTAATTTAGGAATTTTTGCTATATTCATACTAACAAAAATAGGGCATTTTTCTAGCATGTCGTTTGCATTCAAAAACTTCAAAATTGAAATTATTTCCAGAAATTTTTCTTTCAGATTACCCCGCGAGACTAACTTTTCATATTTTTCACATTTTAAATTGTCCAAATCATTTTTCAGCTGTTTTAAAGCAGATACTATATCGTCGTTATTGTAAAAACCAGCAGTATTGTTTAAAAAACAATCATTTTCTAACATATTTGAATTATTTATAAAAAAATACAAAAGTTCATTAACAACGTAAGAACGAGCCGCCATTTTATTTTATTTTTCATACATACTTTTCATACATTTATTTTTATTTATACATACATACATACATACATACATACATACATACATACATACATACATACATACATACATACATACATACATACATACATACATACATACATACATACATACATATATACATGCATACATACATACATCCTTAAATTTCTTAAGGCAATATGAAAATGATCAGCGTCAGATCAGGCGACAGCAGGGAACTGTTTTTCGCAACTAACCACATTTCGTGCTTGTTGCAGCGGTTCCTGCGTGTCTGTGTGCTTGAAAATATCCAACTGAATGCCGACATGTGCAATTAACGACAAATCAAAGTGTTAATCCATTTGTTACTTGATGTTTGACGGTTCAGTGTCACTCATCATGTTTTGGTTTTAACATACATACATAAATACATACATACATACATACATGCATGTATGCATGCATACATACATACATACATACATACATACATACATACATACATACATACATACATACATACAACCAATCCATACAACCAATACATACAACCAATACATACAACCAATACATTCAACCAACCAATACATACAACCAACCTATCAACCAAACAGCCAAACAATCAACCAACCAACTAACTAACCAGCCAGCCAGATACCAACCAACCAATAATAAGAGAAAAAATTCTGCAAATAAGAATGGAGGTGACAGAAGATGTAAGTACGAAGGAAATGGTGGTATTAAAGGAAGAAAAATAGTTGGTGGTCATTTATCTCAAAACGAACGTTGAAACTGTCATGTCTTGGCAGTCGCCTGACAGCTGATGTCTGGCTTCAAATGCAGGCTTTCTCAAACCATCAAAGAAAGCTGCTTCTGTTTTTAACTTACATGTGCAATAATGTGCATGTTAATGATGATATTTAAAAATATAAGAGTTTCTATGACGATGAAAATTATTATCATCGTCGCGTCGTCATCATAAGTGAATGGTGAGTCAGTGTGTCGGTCGTTCCATCCCGTCTGTCTTGCGTCTTAAAAATTTAGAAAACAAAATTTCAATTAAAAAGCAATTTTTTTAATTAGCATAACAATAAGACGTGGCCAACATTTTTTTGGACAAGTTTGTTTTAATAAAAAAAAGATGACAGTGAACTGTAATATTTTTCAACAAATTTGAATTGTCACGAACCAAGGTGAGCGGTAGTTGTGGATGGTGATTAGGCATTTGTTGAAAATTTTTGTTATCAGATCAGACAACGCTAAATAAGTTTTTAAATTGCTGAGTACGGTTTGCGTTTTAATAATTGGTTCGATTAGTTATTATTGATGAAATTTAAAAAATGGTTTTGTCGAAATTTAGAAATATATCCTAATTAACTTTCCATTCCCGTCCTTCGCTACCAATTGCCGTCAGGTGGTTTCCCATTACCAAAAATTTGGTTTTAATCAGCTTCAATGAGAATATCTAAATTAACGTTTCTATGCTCACCTCTATAGGATAGTCGGTCGGTCAGTCAGTCAGTCGGTCGGTCGGTCGGTCGGTCAGTCAGTCAGAGAGTAAGTCAGTGTGTGTATGTGTGTGTGTGTGTGTGTGTGTGTTTGTGTGTGTGTGTATGTATGTGTGTGCATGGTGTTTTACCGATTATGAATTTGAAGCTGCAAACTAATGATTAATATAAAGAATGAGTGAATGTTTGAGTTATTTATTGCAAACTAGATCTTCACCATTGTCATGATCATCACCATCCCATCATCGTTATTAGTCACCATCACTATCATCATCATTATCATCATCATTATCACCGCCATCATCATCACCCCCACCATCATCATCATCATCACTACTCATCGCATCCATTTTCACCATCATCGTCACCACCATCACCTCATCATCAGCGTCACGTCCCATTATAATTATCTAGGCCATTTGAAGCGATATTTATTACGGGCAAATGATGATCTATGCCAATAAGCATGTTGACACCAATCAGCGTAAGACACGTGACTGCTTTTAAACAAACAAACGAACGAACGAACGAACGAACAAACAAACAAACAAACGAACGAACGAACGAACAAACAAACAAACAAACGAAAAACTGATACAAAACAACTTGCAAATAAAACAGCTTCACACAGACGTAGGTTATTCATTATACACAGCCACGTTCATGCACGCATGCGTACGTGTTACATTCAAATATGTCACATTGACAGACGTTCCAAAAAGGTACGAACATTTTAAATACAAACACTTGCACACAAATTTGTCGGTAACACCTTGACAGTTGTTCTAACTGGTACATCATATGTGAACCATTGAATGTTTGCAGTGTTGCATTGAATGGCCAATGCGCATCGTATCATATTACACCGATTTTGTTGGGAAGCTCCAGTTTTACATGTGCCGGGACATATGGTGGAGCAGAAATCAATCTGAAATTTGAAATTGATCAAAACAACAACAAAGCAGGCATCACATTTGAAAAAATTATCAACCGCCATTAAATTTGTTGTACTGCCAATAAACATGTTCGTTGCATGCTCCCACGCAACCGGTCTGAACGAATGGAACGATTGCGTTGGCGGGCAGACACACATACACGCACATGCAGAATTGCAAACATGCACAGTCACAAAAATAAATGCAAATAAACATGAATACATACATCAATTCATTAAACATAAATGCATGCATGCATTTATACATGCATGATACGTATAAAATATTTGCATACATACAAACGTACGCGTATACACATAAACATACGTATAAACACACACCCATATATACACGCACACATAAGTGCACACACACACGAAAAACATAACCGTAAATAAATGCACACATAAACACACACAAATCACATATACACATTAACATAGGACACACACACAAAAACGCATGCACACACACAAACACACACGAATGACATAAATAATCTTTACATAAACATATCATCATTATGCAGCTTTCACTGCCATGATAATGATGTCCAAGATGAAGAGGATGATATTGATGATGATGATGATGTTATTAATGATGATGATGATGATGATGAGAAGGATGATGATGAAGATGATGATGATGTTATTAATGATGATGATGATGATGTTATTGATGATGATGAGGATGAGAAGGATGATGATGATGGCAATGATGATGATGATCCCAGAAAGCACGACAACAATAAAAATAATGATGATGATGGAGTTAAGTGACCACAATAAAAATAATAATAATAATCCTTACTCTTATCACCATAGAATGATAACAAAATAAATTATTATATTATAGAGTTAATAAAAAATAATAAAAACGTTAAAAAAGACTCTGGACACACAGCACTTGCGATTGCATGTGTTGTGTGGTCAGATGCAGGCGTTCGTTCGGCAAAAAATTGTGACTGCATTTGCATAGGTCCAAATTCAGTTGTGTGGACATGTATCTTTTTTTAATTTAGAACTTCTGCTAGGGTTGACGTCCGATTTTAAAGTTGTTTCCATTAATTAAACAGCTTTTAAATGAATTTTATTTTCTGCTTTCAAATCGTTACTTTAAAGTCGTTCAACTTACAGCCCTGGCCAATCTCCCGTTTTAAACAGTTGCATCATTGCTTGATGGTCAATTTGGCAGAAACTGTCGATGAGCTCTCTCTTTCTTTTTCATGCCGATCACATCATCAACTGGCATTTTAATTTCTGTCCAACTTTTGATAGATGAGTTTTTGTGCGTTCACAAGTAGTTAGCTATGGTAGCCGGCAAACTGACTGCAGACTGATCTATCTTTAGATGGGAAATTAGCTTTCGAATCAAAAGTTGGACCCCAAAAATGGCCATGTTGTTTCCGTTCCAGACTGTCAAGAATCATCATAAAAGAGTTGGAGCTGGTAATGACAAGTGGTGGTGATGGTGGTGGTGGACAGGGATCGCCATGGAGTACACCTCCCCCGACTGGCGATGCCTCAGTCAGTTAACCGTTAAGTGATATTGATGTTGAACAGTCGGAATATATCGAAGTAACTAAATTATGTAAAAATATCGGTAACAATAACAGTAATAATAATAATAAAAAAATAATAATTATTATTATTATCATTATTATTGTTGTTGTTGTTGTTGCGTTTGATGATGATCATAATGTTACATGACGATGATTGCAAGTATTGAAAGAGATTAGGTTGATGGAGAAGTAACGCGGATCAGGAATGAGTGAATGAGTAACTCAAACATGAATGAAAATGATGTTGACAACAACAAATGATGTTATTAACAACAGCAAAAACAACAACAACTAAATAACAAAAACTACAACGACAACAATAGCAACAACAACACTAACAACAACAACAAAAACACTAACAACGACAACAACAACGACAACAACAACAACAAATCTAACAACAAAAACAACAACGACAACTTTAACACTAACAACAACAACTACAAAACAACAACTACAACAGCAGCAACAACAATAACCAGAATGATAATGGTAATAGAATGTTATGTAATATTTAGATGTGTTCCAACCAATCACATGACGTTTCTACGCTCCAATGATCATCATCACTACGTGTGTGTACTACTGATGATGATGACGACGATGATAGTGATGAATAGTGTTGACGATGGCGATGATGGTGATGATGATTGTGGTGGTTAGAATTTAGTGACGACGACGACGATGATGATAATAACAATAATTCGAAAGTTATAGCAGCCATCAGAAATGATGACAACTCTATAATGCGAATTATAGTGATTACGAAATGATTGCAGTGATGATGCAATGGAGTGGTGCACTGATGTGATCATGATGATGATGTGATGGTGATGATGATGATGGACATTGCAATCTGAATAATGACGCGTTGGTGTTCAGTGGCGGACGTAGGCGGACCGGGGAGTAATGGGTTGAAGGTTTGTGGAAATTGTTGTTTTAAAGAAAATAATTGTGTTTTAAAGGGAAAATTGACATTATGAGGCCATAAGTAGAAATGTTGACCCCCCGTCAAAATGTTGCCAACCCCTGGGAACAGAACATGTTTCGAAACAAATTAGTGTTAATGAGACCCTCCACCTCCCTGGTCATCAACTTTTGTTGGAAATTTCCTCCCCCAATTGCCAACTTTTCAATAAAATTTTCCTCCCTTCGTCAAATATTTTTTAAATTCTTGCCCCCTCCTTCAAAGTTGTCCAGATCCGCCACTTTTGGTCAGTGATAGTGAACGTTTTGTTGATGAAAATTTAAAAATGAAATATTGATAGTAATAATAATAATAATAATTATTATTATTTTTTATAACTTTAACAATAGTAATAGTAATAATAATATCAATAACGATAATAGAATGCAGATGAATGTTTTTACTCTTTACACATTTTACTCTTTGTCCAATTAAATACTCTAGTAATAATAATAAAAATATTAATTATAACATTATTATTTTCCTTTTTTTCATTTCAAATAAAAAAATTATGATTAATTAGTATTTATCATCTCCAACAGTGATGCGAATGTTCTCATCACTATTTTTATCATCATCTTTATTATCATCACCATAACCACCATTTTCTTGTTTATCATCATCCTCATCATCACCACCATCATCATTACCACCACCACTTTCATCATCATTGCCATCATCATCACTGACAACAGAAGCAGCACAAGAGCTGATAGTACATCAGCCGATGTCAAATGCCTCAGTGCATTCCAACAATAATCCGCCAGCAACCCCCAGATGCATTTTTCAAAATTCATGCATGGAAAAAACAAAATAAAGACGTACTTCTGCTTGCAACATCATCACCATCATCACCTTCATCATCACCGTCACCATCATCATCTTCATCATCGTCGTCGTCATCACCAACATCACCAACATCTTATTTCCTAAATCTCCGTTAATTTTGTTGAGTTGTTATCATTGTCATCGTCATCATTAGGGCAATCCTCATTTTGAGTAGAAATCATCCCCGCTGGTTACTACAATAAAATCATCATCGTTACAATTATTCTCAGTGTAGTCCTCAACATCATCATTGTTTTACTCATCACCATCATTATCACAATCATTATTTCTTTATCGTCATTATCATCATCATCATCTAAAACATCACAGATGGTTGCATAAATGTGTGGTTGTAGTGTGTGTGTGTGTGTGTGTGTGTGTGTGTGTGTGTGTGTGTGTGTGTGTGTGTGTGTGTGGGTGTGTAGAGGGCTACCGACAGCCAAACCGGACCCCAAGTTTAAATGCATAAAGGGACCCTCGTGTATAAATGTATTGATATATATATATATATATATATATATATATATATATATATCAATCAATCAATAGGAAACTTATATAGCGCTAATTAAATGTTCTCAAAGGCGCTATCGTAATTATATAAACATTGAAGTCTACAATACTAATAACAAGAAAAAAAATAATTGAAAAAGAAAATAAAACACGTTTAATAGTGAACAGATATGTTTTTAATTCTTTTTTAAATGTTCTAAGAGACAGTCCGGATGATCGCAATGGCTGTGGCAAGCTGTTACACACGGTCGGACCTGCAAAAGAAATACTCCGTGCACCAATCTGCAAGTGTGAAACCGGTATTGTCAACAAATTTATATCATCTGACCGTAGATGAGACGATGCAGACATTTTTTTTTGAAAATTTGTTTACGAGATATTCTGGTGACATCCCATTCAGGGATTTAAACGCAAGTACAATGATTTTGAAGGTTACTCTTTTATCTATTGCCAACCAGTGTAGTTCCTCCAGGATGGGCGTCACTTGATCAAACTTCATCCTGCCAGTTACCAATTTTGCAGCCCTGTTCTGAATCGACTGAAGAACAGCTATTGACCTTCTTGGAAGTTTATAAAACAGACTGCGATGTTATAAAAGCATGAATCAGCGTCACCAGTGCCGATCTATCCAAGAATGTCTGATTCGATAAATGTTTCTTAAATAAATATTACTTGATGTATATATTTTTTTAATGTAGTCTTTCATCGATAAATTGCTATCAAGTAAAACTCCCAAATTTGATGCAGTTGCAGATAATGATATCTTTACATCTCCCATCTCAACAGAACAGAAATCTAGTTTTGACAACTGTTGCCACGTACCTACCGGTAGCAACTGCGTTTTACATTCATTGAGCTTGAGCGAGTTTGATGACATCCAATATCCAACCTCTTTCAAACACTGGACAAATCTATCAACCTCATCACGAAACGAACCTGGAAGACCAGTGACTAGAACCTGAATGTCGTCGGCAAACGCATGACAAGTGAATCCACGAGAGGAAATTAATTTAATTATATCTGCTGTGTACAAAATAAAAAGAATTGGTCCCAGAACTGAGCCTTGTGGCACACCTGTTGTTACCAAGGCAACATCAGACACTGAATTGTTATATATATATATATATATATATAAATATAAATATATATAAATATAAATATATATATATATATATATATATATATATTTAAAGTGGTTTCTGAAATACGTTACCAAACCACCATGCCCAGGATCATTTAGCCTAACTTGTTCCAAAAAACTAAAATCACGTGGCTTTGCCAAACTAAGACAAATATTATCAAATGATTTATGCCAAGTTTCTGTAAGCATCAAAACATCCAAGCCATCATTGAGCAGCCCATGAACATCATCAACATTTGGATCCAAAGATCTAATGTTTAACAGACCCACTTTAATTTTATTGACATTACCAGAAGAGATGAAAACCATAGACGCACAATCAGAACTAGTATGCTTTAGTTTTTTGTTGAATATTTCTATATTTTATTTTTCTTAAATTTAACGGATCTCCCCTCACCCTGTACAAAAATTCCCCTGACTCCTGTTTCTGTTTATCTTTTGCTTCAGCTACCAGTTTTTTACATTTTTCACGCTGTTCTTTAGTGAAGTCATGGCTTATGCTGACATTTTTTAATTCATCACTCAATTGTTTCATCCTCACACGATTTTCCATTATCATGTTTTTCATAGACTTTTCTTTAGACCCAATCAACATCGGACGTGGGTTGACACCTTTTTTGCCAATTCTGTACATTTTCTTAATATCGCTTTGCTTGATTTCATCATTTGTAATGGTTGACAGCAAATTCATAACGATCTTCTTATGATCATTGCGCGCATCAGCAATTAGTTTCACCTTCACTGAGCCAAATTAACACAACATTGCACTCACGGTTGATTGTTTCGACATCGGTTTTAATAGATTTGAC